GCAAGCTAAGAGTAGCCAAATGCAAGCTAAGAGTAGCCAAACGCAAGCTAAGAGTAGCCAAACGCAAGCTAAGAGTAGCCAAATGCAAGCTGAGTAGCCAAATGCAAGCTAAGAGTAGCCAAATGCAAGCTAAAAGTGTTCGACACGACAGCTTCTTGGTAAATTATTTATAAGAGCCAGAGGACACGGTTCTTGTCTAAACTGTCCCTAGGACAGAGCCGGAGGACAGGGTTTTGGTCTAAACTGTCCCTGGGACAGAGCCGGAGGACAGGGTTCTGGTCTAAACCGTCCCTGGGACAGAGCCGGAGGACACCATCCAGAGGCTCCTACTGGCTCAGAGAGCCGTCAGTCTGAGCGTCGGGTTGTAGCGGACCTGTTGCCGCAGCAGCTCGTTCTCCATCTGGACCCGCTCCGCGTCCTTGGATCCGTCCTGCAGCTGCTGGTTTTTCTGCCGCAGCTCTCGGATGTAGTCGCAGGCTTTGGACAGGATGCCTCCTTTACTCTGAGGAACAGAACGGGTCAGGAAGTTGAAACGGCTCAGCGTCAGTGGACCTCAGATGAACAGGTTCTCTCACCGCTCCAGTTCTGGCGTCGATGCTGCAGTCCGGGATCAGTTTGGACAACGTGACGATCCAGTTGTTGATCTTGTCTCTTCGTCTTCTCTCCACTGAAAACACGAAACCAGAAGACGTCTCAGAAAGTTTCATAAAACGGATTGAAATGAGTTCTTTACTGAGATGAAGGTGCAGAGACCTTCGTTGTGTTGAGCTCTCCTCTTATCGTCCCGGGGGGCCCGCGGACCCTCCACCTTCCTGCAGAGCAACAAAAACACAAACGACGAGTTGAAAAACACAAACGGGAATGTGAGAAAATAAAACTAAGTAAAATCCTCTGAGGAAGACTCAGGATGAAGCTCAGGAGAGCATCACCTTCAGGCCTGAAGACGAACTTAAAGATGGCGGATCGTTACTTCGTGTTTGGTTAAAGTCCGTCCAGGGGTTGAGGAGATATTTTGCTAACAGTGAGTACTCACGAGCTGCAGGTCTGTATCCGCGGCGCGATGTTGCGGGGGCTGCTGGTCTGCAGCACCTCGGGGGGCATCATCACGTAGAACTGACCTGAATTGGAGGAAACACACGGTCAGAACCTCGCCGCGTCGCCGCCATTCCTGCAGCCGAAGGTTTCCTCACCTCCCGCCTGCGCGATCGTCGGGTCGGCGGCGGTCTGCACCGACACGGCCGCCCCGTCGCTGACGGCGGCGGTGGGGAAGTAAGCGAAGCGTGTTTCTCCCCCCACGGTCTCCCCACCGGGACTGCCCCCGTTGCTGAAGGGGTTCTGGATGACTGCCTGCAGGGGGCGGAGCCAGAACAGCAGAATGTAAACAAAAAGCTTCAGCTGGTAAAAACAGCTTAAGAAAAAACATTACAGGAGGGTGTAAATAATTGTGGGCATGACATCACTTCCTGTCCAGCAGTGATCTGACCTTTGACCTTTACTGACCTGAGCCACGGCCTGAGGGGCTCCGGCGAACGCTGCCGTGGAGACGACACTGACGGCGCCGGTTCCGTCTGCCGCTGCTTCCAGATGATCGTCCGACACTTGAACGACCCGATAGGTCACCTGCAGACAGCAGAGGGACAAATATGGTTCTTCCTCCAGCCACCGGGTCAGAACCAGTCCAGAGACAAAACCACGTCCTCCAGAACCCAACGGGTCCGATCTCACCTGTCCTCCAGCGTTTTCCGTACGGAACTGGTACTGAACGCCGTGGTCAGAGAACGCAGCCTGAGGGACGCTGGTGATGGTGACCGCAGAGTGTCCATCTGAGACAACGGCTTCTCCTGAAGACACAGAGACAGAGGGAGACACAGAGACAGACACACAGAGACAGACGGACACACAGAGACAGAGACAGACAGACAGAGACAGACACACACAGACACAGAGAGACACAGAGACAGACACACAGACACACAGAGACAGACACAGAGACAGAGATACACAGAGACAGAGACACAGAGACAGACACACAGAGACAGACACACGGAGACAAAGAGACAGACACAGAGACAGAGATACACAGAGACACAGACAGAGACAAAGACACGGAGAGACAGACACAGACAGAGACACAGAGAGACAGAGACACCTTTTTACTTCGGAAAAATAAAAAATGTGTTTATTTAGTCTTTTGTGACTTTTAGCTACTGTTTAGCTACATTGAACAAGTTTATTGGTTCATTTAGCTAGCCTTTAGCTATTTTATAATTTTAGCTATTCTGTAGCTTTTAAATAAAAGATCTACCTTTTTGGCTTTTAGCTACTGTTAGTTTCTTTTAGCTGTTTCTTTTAGAATGTTTGCTAGTATTTTGCAAACGTTAGTTAGCGTTTTGTTACTTTTACCATCTAACAAACATTTTGATACTTTTAGCTAACATTTATAGCTGTTTTCAGCTGTTGGGTTATTTGTGGTTTCTGTGTTGCTTTTAGCTTTAGCTGTACATTTGCTACTTTCAGCTACAGGTGTACCAATTTAAAAAAATACTTCTGTTGCTTTAGCTAACATTTTTACTACTTTTGGTCTCGGTCGAGGTCGAGGTGAACAACGACCACCACCGGTGATGTTGAGCAACAGGAAGCCGGTGGACATTGTGCTACTGTTAGTCAAAGACCACGAGGAGGGAAACATGTCTGGAGACAGAGACATGGACAAAAAGACAGGAGACAGAACTGGAAGTGTCAGAAATGAAGATGTTGAGGTTCTCCTTAGGAGAGACAAGGATGGAGAAGATCAGGAATGAGATCATCAGAGGTACAGCACAGGTTGAACAACTGGGAGATAAAGTTAGAGAGGACACACTGAGATGGTTTGGACATGTCCGGAGGAGGGACAGTGGTTTGGACATGTCCAGAGGAGGGACAGTGGTTTTGACATGTCCAGAGGAGGGACAGTGGTTTTGACATGTCCAGAGGAGGAACAGTGGTTTGGACATGTCCAGAGGAGGACAGTGGTTTGGACATGTCCAGAGGAGGAACAGTGGTCTTTACATGTCCAGAGGAGGGACAGTGGTTTGGACATGTCCAGAGGAGGGATGGTGGTTTGGACATGTCCAGAGGAGGAACAGTGGTCTTTACATGTCCAGAGGAGGGACAGTGGTTTGGACACGTCCAGAGGAGGGACAGTGGGTATATTGGTAGAAGGATGTTAGAAATGCAGCTGCAGGAAAAAGACAAAGAGGAGATATATGATGCAGTTAGAGAGGACATGGATGTAGTTGGAGTGAGGACAGAGGACACAGAGGACAAAGTGAGGACATGGTGAGGATTCGCTGTGGAGACCCCTGAAAAAGGAACAACTGGAAGAAGCTAAAGATCTACTTCATTTTAGCGACTAGTTTTAGCTACTTTTTGCTGTTTTTAGCCAGTTCCTCTTGTAGCTTTTAGTCCGTCGTTTGCTACTTTCAGCTGTGTTGAACGACTTTAGCTGATCTTTTGTGACGGCTAGGTTTTAGCTTCAACTCAGTTTAAGTTTAACAAATTTCAGCTTCTTTATTTTATATAAATTTGTTTTTTTATTTTTTTATTTGTGTAAACAGCTGTTTGTTTACACAAACAAGCAGCTGTTTGTTTGTGTAAACAAACAGCTGTTTACACAACCAAGCAGCTGTTTACACAAACAAACAGCTGCTTGGTTGTGTAAACAGCTGTTTGTTTGTGTAAACAGCTGTTTGTTTGTGTAAAGTTGAGGTAAACTTGTTCCTACCTTCCTGCAGGTGCAGCTCTTCTTCCGGTTCCGTTTTCTCGTGCCTAAAACAAACAAACAAACAAACAAACAAACAAACAAACAAACGTCAGTGACTTTAGCGGGACTTGAACCCGGACCCTGACGGTCCGGATGGTTCTGTGGAACCAGAGCGCCTCCTGCCGGAACCACCCGGACCGGACTGTTTACATGAACCTTTAGTTCCGGTAAGAAGTCTGAACTCCAGTCTGAGGATCAGAACCGGACCTTTGGGGTCAGAACCGGACCTCTGGGTTTCCTTCTGCTGTAAATCATGCAGGAGGTTCGGCAGAACCCGTCAGACCCACATGCGCTTTAACAAGAGGGTTCTGGTTCGGGCCGGAGCAGCTCACCTCCCCGAACCCTCCAGGTTCTGCTCCAGCAGCTCCATGAGGCGGTCCCGGGCGGACGGAGGTTCTGGTCACGGGGACAAACAGCCGGGTCATGTGAGGGAGCCGAACCGGGACACGTGAGGCTCCGGGCGGGCTCGGAGCCGAACGGAGGCCGCTGCTGCTTCCGGGGAAACCGAACCCAGCTCCGGTTCCGTGTTCGGACCGCGGGGTTCTGGAGGTGGACCGGGTTGAGGACAGCAGTTGGTTCTGGTGCCAGACCCAGACGGACCGTCTGGTTTTTGTCCTTTCTGTCCTCTACCGAGCCTCGGTGCTGATCCGGACTGGATGAAGGAGTCAAGAACCGGACTGGATTCTGCCGGGCCTCTGTGGACCGAACCAAGCCGAACCTCCCTCGTGTTTCTGTGTTGAGCTCGTGTCGTGTAAATCCAACCCACGTGACTCATGTTCGGCTCGACCCGGTTCGACCGGATTAAAAGCGGATTTCCGTGTTTGGACCCGGTCTCGTTCCGTCGTTTGGTTTTTAAAACGTCTCGTTTCAATCTGGAACAGGTCCAAACGGTTCTGGTTCCGTTTGGTTCCCAACACGTTATTTCTCTACTTCCGGTCCAGCTGACCCGGAAGATCCAATCCAGGTTTTCACACCAACCACATGACAGAACCGAGCCGGAAATAGGTCCAGGTCCTGGTCCTGGTCCTGCAGGACTTCAGGACCCGCTTTACAAGAATCAGAACATTTAGCTCATAACAGCTAAAGACATGTTTTAGATCAGAACATGGAGGATAGAACAAAAACCTTTAGCTGCTCTGCAACAGGAAGCAGTTTACACTTCAGCTGCTGTTAGCATGAACCACAGCTGAGACTGTAACACGATAGAAAAACAAGCTAAAACTAATAAAAGGCTAGAGAAAAACAACAAGCT